TGTTCATAATTTTATTATCAAAATTTCTAGACCCACCTGAGGGTGTCAGGTTTGGTGGTTTGGTTTTTATAGAAAATCACAGATGACCTGGTTTTGATGGCTTCCTCGAGCCTTGACCTGCAGCATGCACTAGGGCAGGTCACAGCTGAGTGTGAAAAAAATGAGCACCTACTGGTCTGAGGCCATGACGCACGAGCTTGCCAGATGGATTGATGTTGCATTAGCAGTGATGCAAAACATGTGATAGTCTAGTGTGGTGAAGAGAGGGCTAAGTGTTAAAGTAAAGCTGTTGATCAACTGGTTGGTCTATGCTCCTACAGTCACCTATCGTCACAGGCTTTAAGTGGAGACCAAAAGAATGAGATTGTGAATACAAGTTGTGGAAACGAGCTTCCTCCAGTGAACTTGTTCATTCAGTAGAGGCTCACAGTAGAGCCAGTGCTCCTCTGCACTGAAACCCCCCCCCCCACCACCACCACCACTACCACCACCTCCACCACCATTTCTATTTGAAAGTTTAAGAAAAAACACAAAAAACCACTGATTCTTTTACCTTTCCCATATTTTCTTAGAAACAACTTTCCTTACACTGCTCTTCTCTGCCTTGTTGTCCTTAGCCTAAGTGGGTCCTCTGCCTCATACCTCCAGTGGTGTGTGTTCAAGGCAGAACGGTGATGGAAATCGCACTGAAAACAAAGATGAGTGTTTGTCCTTGTGTTGAAGTCACGCCACTTTATCTTTGCACCCCACTTTATTATTCCCTCTTTGCCTTAAACAACCAAAGGAGAAGCAACCGGGACCGGCGCGATGCTGATGTGCGCTCAGACAGCCGAGACAAATCAACACAAGTTATCAGCTCGTACTCTAATAAACTTTCCATGTGATATATGCTGTACATGTAGGTATTTAAAGTTTAAGGAAAATGTAGATTTTACTATCATATCAATATGTCGCAAAGGCTGCCATTCTGTATATGTTTTAAAGAAACATTTCACTGTAGTCCACTATTTATGAAAATGTACCAACTCTGTAAAATGGAAAAGAAATGGGAAAATATATCCAAAAATATAGACAGACAGCACTGCCTGATTTATTTGTTGACAAATACAGATGTGAGGTATTTTGGATTTTATCAATAGGACCACTAAAAAACCATTCAAGGACTGAAAACTGCAAGTAAAAATTATTTTACTGCAGTAGCCTGGGTTCATCTGGAGCCCCAGGCCATTATCTTCATCTCATGTCCCCTCTTTCTACCCAAAATCCCATCTGTCGTTTATTGACACCACCAAATAAAACCCTGCAAAGCCCAAAAATGGACTTAAAAATGAAGCATTGTTTCATAAAAGTAGAAAATGTAGTCAACAAATGTCCTACACATGTGTGAAAGAATCCTATATAAGTCTCCACGGACTATTCAGTTTTATCCTGTGAAGAAATAGTATGATGAGATCGGTCTCTTCTAGGCTGAGAATAACCAAGGACTCACCGAATGGCTGTTGAGTATGAATATGATGTAAATCATGTGCTAAGACCTTCATAGTAGCTGTAAACTATTTTCGAACTGACCTGTCGAATAAGGATAGACTGGGCCTTCATTTATCACACTGACAAAAACTAAGAGAGGAAAACTGGGTTTTGTGCGCGTGCACAAATTTGACAGGAAGTTTTCGTCAAACTTCTTCCGCTCCTTGAAATTTAATGCTCTTAAATTAACGAAAGTCCTGCTATTTCAGAGATGAGTTTGGACGTCTGTGATGTTCAACAGGAATATTCTCGCCTTGTTTTTTTGGTTTTTGTTTGTTTTTTTTTCAATGTCTGCCCTTGTCAGTGGGAAATTAAATCCTTGCTATTATAAGAATAACACTCACATACATCATTAATTTATCACTATTTACATGTTAAATATAGGTGAAAAATGTATACTTTTTTTCTTAGAGTTTCCTAACTTACACTCAAAAAGTATTATACATGTCGTTGAAGGATAAATTGTGTTGTAAAAGTGACGATTCTTTTACAATTTGCTCTAATTGGGAGTAACTTTATAAATGTGTCTTATCGCACGCGAAAAGTACTTTGCTAAGTGTAATTTGTGGAAGCTTGAAAAATACTGAACCTGCTTCAGCATTAAAGCAGCAACATTAAAAGAAGAACTTGTAGGAGGCCTTTGATCTCATTCATGACAAACTGGGTTTGTTGAGATTCAACTAAAATCTTCATATTGATGTGCACCAAGGCTCTCAAGTGACTGTCAAGCATAGCGTTTTTAGGCCTTTAATACACTAAAGAATTAATTATCTGTAGCACAGGATTTGCGAAACAGAGTTTAAGCTATACATTGAATGTTTGAAACTGAGTGCGGTATCCTTGCATACAAGCAGAGGAAAATGACAAAAATTTCACTGCATGAAATATGCGTCTTTTGGGAAAAAATGTACTTCAGCTTATTATTTCAAATAATTGGGAGAAACATTTAAATTCCTTTGCCAATCTGTACAGAATCCAAAATGTTTTCTCTGAAGAGGGCTCTTCACATTTTTGCCATGATGACACCAGACACTTCAGTACCAAAAGAGGCGAGCTGACCCTCAGAGTTTTAAATGAGACAGGTGTCACCCCCGAGGTTCTAGTCATTGGCACCTGCTCAGGAAACCACAGCTTCCAAATTTTAGGAATTGATGACAATGTGGTAAAAATGTGGAGGTGTAGTCATGATTTAAAGCGGGATGGCGGGTTGATGGTCTGGCCTCTTCATTTAGTGAGTAATTAAATAAATGAGTGGATTCATGCAAAATAACATCGAGTTTGTTTTTAATATGCTGCAGTTTGACGCCGTTTATTCCACTGAGAAAGGAAAATCATCCCTGCACAGTCTCCACATGTCCACGGGGCAACAGGGGAGATGAAAAATGGAGACAACATGGAGTTAGAAAAACTGTAGCTACTCTATGTCCCACTTCAGGCTGGTTCTAAAAGAGAGCCACTGCTCAGACTCCCATGTTAAAATGTCCTTCTAACCTATCCACCTGGATATGTGAGTGTGGGGTGTCGTTGAATTGACTGACCGCAGTCTTCTAGGCCTCATCCACTATACTGGAGCACTTCACTGTGTGTGTCTGTGCTGTTATGGCCTTTTGGAACATATTTAATGGTTATGACTTACTGTGTGGTACAGACCAACCAAGAAGGTTGTGCTTCAGTAGTCTGTTAGTCAGTACTAATTAGGCAATATTTGTCTCTGTGCACTTCACCCGTACAGTTTGCATTAGCATTCCACCTTCACAACTGGTTCCAAAAGAAACCTCAACATGGCAGCAGCCAAAATTCTAAATTTGAACCTTCAAGAGTCTAAAATTCATTTGTGATGTCAATGATGCGGCTACAACCATCTTTTATGTAGTCAGAACTTCAAACAGCCACGTGTCAATCAAGTTGGGGGGGGGGGATTAAGCATAAAGTGAATAGCTTGTCTAACTGACCACTAAAATGAAAGGCGGTTTTTATTATTCTTTAAAACGATTGCCCTAATAAATGACCAGAGATGTTTCTAAGGTTGCTCACGACCAATAGGACATGCTTTTAGAAAGACTTGAATAGCAGTTGTTAGCTGTAATGTATGTTAACTGATGAGGCTTTTTAGTGTGATAATAAAAATTCCTTTATACTTTATACTGAATACGGTTGGTAAGCAGTCAAGAAAGCTCATATACAGTTCTCATGCATTACAATTATTATTGACATTTTTGTTTCTCGCTGCTGCTTTGCTACACCAAATTCTATGTGTCAAATCCCATTTTAACCCCTGGGTGTAGCTACTTACATTGTGTAGCGACTGTTTCATACAGAATCACATTTATTTATTCAAATACGATATAATACTACAGTTCTGATATAATTATTTTACGTTTACCTTCCAACACATTTCAGAGAGGGAGTAATCACCTTGAATCCTATCTACTCGCCTTCACAACTAATGATCAAATGCAATGATTGTCTGTAGAGATTCTACATCGGGGGAAAAAACCTGAAGGTTACAGGCCCGGTGAGCAGGTTCATGTGGATTGTGAAGTCCTCTACACAATGTAATTTCACTTGCTACTCTGCTGATTTGAAGAAAATGCTCTGAGCACGAGCAACAGGAGCAGCCTTGGAGCAACGCTCGGTGCTAAAACAGCATCACCAAGGCAACCTTGCAGAGCAAATTACACGAATTGTGTGCAAATGCCAAACGAACGATCAGGAGAGATGGACTGAAAGGGCAGTGATCAGGATGCATAAGTATATTTAACAGAGCTTTATCACACGTGGCTCCATAAATACTTAAGTAGTAATCAAATCTGGATACAATCTTCCATAATAATGCATTTAACTTTTTTTTTAAGCTTTAATTTTAAGAAAAAAAAATAGTGCATTAACTGATCAAGAATTATAACCTGTATAAAAAGAAGTAATGAACTGGAGACCAGAAGGCTTAGGCTACCACGGAAAACAAGTAAAATGGATCAATTATTTCCTTACTGAAGGAAAAAAGCCTTAACTTCTTCAGCTAACATCATTCTGCTTTCACTCTCCACCTAAAGACCCATTAGCCCACTGCTATCGGTCAGTGAGACAGGACAGGAGGGGCTACGCAGCTTGTGCAGCAGCTGAACGATTTGGCGAGTCAGCCACCTGGCAGAGAGGCAGTGTTGGGTGGGGCGGGGGGCTAAAGTAAGTTGGCTGGAGGCTGGATATGAGCAATTAGGAACAGCCTGGATCTGGCAGAAGGGACGCTGTGGTGGGTGGAGGTGAGGGAGGCCAATGAGGAAAGGTCGGGATCAACTTGGAAATAAATGGACAAATGTGGGGGGGGGGGGGGGGTAAAAGGGGGAAGTAGGACAATGAGGTCAGAAATATAGAAGCAGATTCCCTTTGTTCGGATTTTGTGGAAAGATGGTAAACGCATGAGCGTGTGGATGACACAGAATGAGTGGATATGCTCAGTATGATTTAAGCTTAAGAATCCTTTATTTCCTTATATTTTTCTAGTGCATATACCAGTTTACCTTTTAAACCTCAGATACAACTGCACACACAGAGAAGGTATTTCAAGCAGATTTGTCTTACACCCCCTTTACTAAACATTCAGTGACAGAGTAGAAAGTATCAACACCAGCTCTAATCATTCCTTTCTTATATAACAAAATGTTATTTTTGTTGCATAATTCATTCATCTTAGATTCTTCTACACGTTTCATACATCATGAAATAGAAATATGGACAATTATACAACAACTCCAAAAATTGTTAGAGATTTTATTCGTTTCATTTAAACAAAAAAAATGGATTTCATTTACAGATGTACATTTTGTGCAAAATTATTCCTCAAAAACCCCCAAATGCAATTCTTACAGACAGACTAGGGCACATTGAGATTGTGAATACATTAGTAAAGAAATTAAAGGAGCAGCGTGTGAGTATTTCCGTAATTTGAACTGGCTGTGAGTAGTTCACACATCACGTTAGGCTTAAAGAACCGACATAATCACTGAACCATGCAGTGTGCTCTGATATCAAAGCTGCAGCTGGAAATGAAACTTAGTGGACTTTCAACACCAAGCATGTCAAGGTATTTGACAAATCATCGGTCAGTTAGTTCAATTAAACAGGCAGATTTCAGTTGTTCCTACAAATTTGCGTTTAACATGAAGAAGACAGCCAAGGCTCTCACAGCTTGGCCTTCCCTGGCGCAATCTGCAGGTTCTGCAGCTTCATAGCCATGCCCATGTTCCCAGCGACCTTGAGCTTTCCCTTGAAGAACGCCTGATGGTAAAGCAGTTAAGCATGAGGAAATTTTAATTTTCTAATATCACTTAAAAAGTAGTGGTAGGTTTTTAATGACATTTTGTTTCAGTCTAACAAAATTTCAAATTGAAATCATTATCATCATCACTTAAAAAACAAAAAAACAATGCATTTAAAACCTTAAATCTAAGGTTTCTGGCTACATAGAAGAGTTACTACCATTTTTAATATTCAGCATTATCATGATCTTTGTGGACCCTATGCCTGTTTTTACGTGTGTCTCAATGCTCATTGGCCTGTGCGCTGTAGGGAGTAGTTCAATATATACAAAGGCACTGATGTCTAATTGATGGGTGGATATGGCTGCACTGGAACAAAAGCATTACACTTTGCAACTGACATTCACTCTATCAATATTAAATGTGGGGCCAGCACTCTATGAAAGCCTGGTAGTGAGACTTTAGGAATTCCCCTGGAAAAAAAAAATTTTTAATACTGTAAACAAACAGCAATCAGACAGTGGTATTTGACCTACTACAGGCGCAGACAACTCTTACAGAAAACAAATTCTCTCTATGACACAACAGATGGGTTAGCTGCCCCAAAAACCTGCAGCAGAACGGAGCAGATTTTGTCTGCTGGTGGATGATGGTAGTCTGTCGGGTAGACACCAACTGAGGGAATTCAAAGCGCCTTCCTGCCAAATCTGTTTGGGTCAACTAAACAAACGCGCAGGGTGCATGTTCCTGTTTTGGTTCGCTTCCATTGGGGGCTGACGTAAAAGCTGTCAAACTCTGCTGTCACACCACAGTAAAAATAGGACGGCAACCTACTGGCGATTATCGGGGGGGGGGGAAGAAGGAAAAAAACCTCCAAAACAACATATCTGAGTTTATAATGTAATATGGCCTATATTTGTATAGCGCTTTTGTAGTCCCTAAGGACCCCAAATCACTTTACACATTCACACACTGGTGATGGCAAGCCAAACCAAATCATTGTAGCCACAACCACCCTGGGGCGCACTGACAGAGGCGAGGCTGCCGGACACTGGCGCCACCGGGCCCTCTGACCACCACCAGTAGGTAACGGGTGAAGTGTCTTGCCCAAGGACACAACGACCGAGACTGCCCAAGCCGGGGCTCGAACCGGCAACCTTCCGATTACAAGGCGAACTCCCAACTCTTGAGCCAATATCATCTTCCAGGATAGAAGTTATGAAATCCAGGTGGTGATTTTATACCTGTTAACAATGTTCCCTCTAAGCTGCGCACTGCTGGCACGCTCTCTGCGCACAGAAAATCTGCGTTGCGCACAAAAAAAAAAAAAAAAAAAAAAAATCTAACTTGAATTGAAATTAAAATCAATACTTTAACAATTCTGTTTTGCAGTGTTAGTCAGTGAGTGACTGGCTGCTCCGTATGGGATTAGAAGGATGCCACCTTATCTCATAGTCCAGCCAATAATGCGATTCACATACGCAGCTAATCAACGTCGTCGACAGGCTATGACAGCGTCCTTATGTGCCGACACCGGTGTTGTAGCTAGCAAAGCGGCGTGGCTGATGTAGAGTGAAGCCACGTTAATGACAACGTGTACAACCATTGGAGATGTGAGCAGAACAGACGGAACAATTGACGGAAAAAGTGTGGACTTTATACCAGTTTTTAAATTGTGTTGATCGGCCACGTAAAACCGGAGTTATGATAAAAATATCTGCAATGTTTGGTTTTCTTCCTGAATACTGTCATTGTTTATATTTACTGCGGGAAGAAACGTTTTTACATTTTCATTGTAAGTGGGCTAAAGCAGTTAATTAAAAGTAGTCGAACATAAATGTAAATGCTGTAATTTGATTATTTTAATAAACCATGTAACTTGGGTGGATTCCATGCTGGCGTGACCACAGTGCACACGTCTGCTGTTGCTCACAGTGGTCCAAGGGATCGCTCAGGGAGTTTGTGTGTTCGCTCAGACACATGAAAAGTTAGAGGGAACATTGCCTGTTAATCTCTAATCTGGAGTCTAATGTGCTCCACAGCTGTTACCATGGTGATGTGCCTCAGTAAGAAGTGAACCACCTTCAGGAAACCCATGAAGTTACCTGGATAAGACGAAATCCTCCTTAATAGTACCGGCCTCAGACCACGTGAACCAAACTGCAGATGTAAAAGCATCTTCACAGCACTTAGGAAACTGAGATCTACAGTTTCTGAAGAGGAGCTGGGGAGGCTAGATCTCCTCTTTCAACTTTTTCTAATTCTCAGTTTTCATCACTCAGCAAATCTGCCTTGCCTGCAGGCAGTTCAAAATGCTGCTGATTGTCCTTCCTGTTGGCCAGCCATACATGCCTCATGTCACTCCATTACTAATGTCCCTTCCCTGTCGCCTTGCAGCATTTAGGATCCTGTATGAAGTCCTCGGTCCTATCTACAGAGTACTGCATTACAATGAGGCTCCCTCATATGCAGCTGAGCAATTTCACTGCTCTTCTCGCTCATGCAGGTCAAGCAATCTAAAAATCTAGAAGAGATCATCAGAGGGAGGGTCGCCTGCTCCCACCAGGTTTACCAATTCTGTGGACTCTTACAAGTTTGTTTACTTATGCATTTCAGAAACTTTTCATGCTTTTGTGCGGTCTACATTTTGTCTTTTGATTCTTGTACTTCTCTTAGAAAGTTGGTTTGAATAATTTAATTATGCAGTTTTGTTATACAACATTTTTGTGCCCATTAAATTCTTTCATATTTTTACAGCGTAGATTATTTCATATCCAAGACAATTCCTGTCTTTGTAAAGTGCTGTATAAATGAATAAATAAATAAATACTGTTTAATTCCAGTTCACAATAAATGAACTAACCCTAATGTAAAATAAATAAATAAATGCTTTACTGTAAAAATGTTAGGAGCCCCACAGCATGAATTCACTTTTACAGTCAATGTAAAAATATAAGATATCCTTTCCCTTACTTAGACAAATAAACTTTATTTATAGTCATTATTATGCACACACACCGTTTGTGGGTTCAGCTTTCCTGTCATCAGATCCAGCAGATCCTCGTCATTCAAGGATAATGTGCAGTCTGCCTTTTTACCTAAAACAAGACATTAAAAGATGCATTTATTATTTATCTGGCCAACAGCATTTCAGGTGAGCCAAAACTAAAAATCTGCACACACAAAAACAACTAACGACATACTCTACACTGAAGGAAGCAGCACGGAGGAATGTTTGTCTCCGCAATATAGTACAGAAAGCACACTTGGCATTTCCATAACACTGCACTGATCAGCCACAACAATAAAACAGGCAGGAGGAGTGAATAATTATCTCATTACTGCGTCGCCAGTCGAGGGCTGATGTAAAGAATAAGATGTGACTGCTCCCTTACTGCCTTTGAACAACAAGAATATAAGCAGAAAGTCACAGCCGCAGTTGGCTGCACAGCCATAAATCCAAGGCCAGAAGTGACTACACTGGCCATGTGAGAGTCAGAGCTCAACCATCGAGCATGGAAGAGGTCCGATGAGTCATATTTCCATTTACTAAGAAAGAGATGGCAGCACTAGAGGCAGATAATGCTCTGAGCAATGTTCTCCTGGGAAATCTTTGCTCATGCCTTTAATGCATATTCATCTGACCACATTTACCCCTTTATTCCCACTTCTATTCCCTGATGGCAGTGGCATCTTTCAGCAGGATAATGCACCCTTCCACACTGGCTCCACACACAATACTGTTTAGCGATGGCTTGAGGTGAAGTTGTGTTTCAAGGCGTCTTAACTCAATAGAGCACAGGTGCCAAACATGAGGCTCTGAGGGCCAAAATTGTGCGGACAAAGACTGGACAGCTAGGACAGATATGAAAGCATGAATTTTTAACTTTAACGGTATTTTCATAAGTTTTCCAGCTTTTCCATCCATGGTTATTCATACTGCACCACAGTAACAGAAAACTATTAACAATTTCTATTTCTGCTTTTTATTTTTCACTTTCTAGTGATTTAACAAAAACTTTGTTTTCTAATGACAGGACAGTCTGGGCAGTGAGCCACCAGAACTTCCTTTGCAGTTTTACACATTTGTTTCTTTCTATTTAAGCCCAAAGAGTCGTGGCAGCAGATTTCTTTCATTTAGTAGAGCCAAACCTCTTTCTTATGCAGGAAAACTGAGGTGTACTGCTGAGGCTGCACTTCCTTTTCTATTACTAGTGTATCTCGGGGAATAAAATATGCAGGTAAACTTCTTTACACTGACAAGGGCAGTTCCACTGGTCCGGCTCACTCAAGGTCAAAGTGGGCTGTATGTGGTCCGCCATGTAAAATGAGTTTGACTTTCCTGCAATAGAGCGCCTGTAAGATGAGCTGGACAAACAAACCCAATCCACAGAGGCTTCACTTCACAGCTCACAGAAGCTTTTTGACTCAAAGCAGATTCTTTGAGTCTGTTACCACAGGACACCTCCAGAGACACAATATTAGGCAGGAAGCTTTAATGACTTGGCTGACCGAGGCATCCATTCAGTGCAATTTGTTTCACAGCTCAGAAAGCATTATGACTCACTCTTTCTATATTGCATAACTTAATATACTACTTTCTACTGTTAACACACAATACATTCTGTTTCCATCATGCTTGAGCAAATCAAGATGGTGGACAGACGAAATATAAAAACTGAAATTTAGATGGGCACCATGTTTAAATCAGTCCAATAAGGGGAGATGATAAGCAAATTAAACCCTGTTCAGTCTTCAAAGTAAGACTGACCACACTGCCTCAAAATCTCCTGTGTCAGCTTCATTAAAGATGTTATTAGAGCTATCTGAGAGCTGCAGTATCCTAAAATCTAGTTCAACTTTCACTAAAAACAGCACAGCAGTGTGCTTGCAGAAGTTCAAATACTGGTCCTGCAAACCAGCAAGAAAACATTCAAGTGTACTGGGTTTAACAAGCCTGTTGTTCCCACTCATCGGTTCAGCTTTTTATGTGCAAGAGAGCTTCTTTAACTGTTGTTATGATTGCAGCGGTTTTCAAATTTTGCTCCTAACCGAACTTTTAAACTCGTGCAGTAATGTTGGACCATAACGGAGGGGGAAAAAACGCATATTGAAAACCTTTGAGTGGAACAGCTTGTACATCTTAGATTTCCCTGAACATTTCTTTCTATTTTCGAAACATTCAGTCGTATGGACAGAGTGGTGATTCAGAAATAAGGGCTTGGAAGTAGCACGCATTACAGGGGAGACCATCAAATGATGAGATGCCCATTTACCAGGATGTGCCTATGAGTACGGATGCTACGTGTGTGTGTCTGTGCAGAAATCAGCTTGTAAAATAAAAAAGTCAGAATGCAGCTCTTCTAGCAGTACCTCTTTTACACACATCAGGTCATTATTGGAATTAAGCTTGTTTGTTTCCATTTGGTTCGTGTTTTGAAGTCCCCTGTAGCATCTGCATTTAAATCTAAATTTTAAGGCGGATAATGAAGTAGCTGAAACATTTTCACCGCTTCAGCTACTTAATTTGCGTTAGTTCTTCACAACTGCAGAAGTATCAAGCGAATTCAGCCTAAACTTTAAAACAAAAAATACCACTAAATCACAGCCTTTCCATTTTACCTCCAGCACTCTGCAATCTTCCACAACGATATCTACTGAAGATTATTAGTTTTTTTTGAAACCTCTATTTATTGTAGGGGACTGAACACATTTCTTTTTGAGCTTCGGAGAAAAAGAGCAGAACACTTTCACTCCCACAATACAAGAGTTAAAAAGCCGACGCTCTGAGGTGTTTGCAGGCTCCTCAGGGAATAATAAAGCCTTTTGAAACGCTCTCTGAAGTCTTCAGACAATGAGGGCTTTCCTGACAGAGGTGTGAAACAAAATCAAGCTCAGCCACAATCGCAGCAGTTCGGGTGATTTTTATCTGCAAGCCGCTTTGCACCCCAACTACACCCAAGCAGCTGCTGCTGCTGCTGTTCTTAAACTTTACATGTACACAAGAAGGACAGGGAGGTCCAAGAACAGAGCCATACCTCCCAAATGTAAAGTACTGCAGACGGGAATAATTCTGAATATCCTAGCAGACCTTATCCTAAGGGTGTAAAGGCTTACAAAATAATGATAATTAATCAGCTGCAAGAAAAATATCAAGAGTGTTACAGGACTTTAACAACAGCCTCACATACCTGGGTCGTTTGTGACAGAACCGTTACCATTTTTCACGTCAACAATCCAGGTCGCCTCTTTCCCACCTGGGCCGTCCTTCACTTTAAATGCAAACACTCCGCCAATCTTCTTAACAAGTTGCGCTCCCTCCTGCAACAACAGGGTTTGAGTTCCTTTTAATGAATGATTGCATACAGTAAGTGTAGACAGGCAGCAACAGCCCACACAGTGCAAATTTAATTCTACAGCCATCTATTTGTTATACACACAGCTTGACATGAATAGTTTAGATCATGTTTCGTGGTTTCGCCTGAGAAAACCTCTCAAACTCCACGGTCCTGATGGTGACCAGAATAATACACCACCACATCTGATTGAAATGGCTGTGCAGCTATAATTATTAAGCAGTTTCTGTCGCCTGTAAATCATCTGAATCCTGACAGATTCAGATGATTTAACGTGTAAAAGTGTGACAAAGAATACCCTACAGTTTACAGAGAATGTCTGCCTTCTTTTTAACCGTACGAGTCCCGGCAGCTAATACAACAGAAATTTATGGAGCAGCTAGCTGAGAAGTTTTGTTCCAGCTCATTAACTTTCTGTACTACATGGATTTCACCACAATAAAAATGATCTCTCCAGCACAGATCTGATGCTCTTGAAATCCATGTTGCATTATGGCATGCGTGTTAGCTTAGTTAACACTGAACCGTCAGCTTTCTCAAAAACAACCTAAAGTATTCTGGGAAGAAGTGAGAACATCATTCAGAAGTCTGTTCCTTGAACCCAATGCTTGTAGAC